AGGGAGGGAGGATGGGGGATGGAAGGAGAGAAAACAATGAGGAGCTCAGAAAGAAAGTGTTGTGAGAATGATGAGGGCAACAAATGTACACATGAGCTTGACACAATGGATGGACGCATTGTGATAAGGGTTGTATGAGTCCCCCCCAAAATGATTTTTAAAAGTCATTGTGTTTGATGTATTAGAAATAGGCAACTTCTCCGAACATATTATATTCATGTTTGAAAAACCCCTCTCCACTTTTACAAACTTAGAGGTATTGGTCTCACAATATTTTTAGCTACTTGGACACTTTCAGGTATTGCGTAATGCACTCAGTGTCTCATGGGACTTTTGGACATCACACAAAGCTGAAATGAGTGACTACGTGTCACCCTCTGATTGGCACTTTTTCTCTTTACATCCTATGTATGTAGTATTCATTTCAAAAATGAGTAAATAAATATTATAACCATAGTTGCCCGAATTTTTTATATCTGAGGACAGAATGAACATTACATGGGCACTTAGAACACGCTGTTGCACAGAGGAACTTAAAAAAGAGTAAGGAATGTGAATTTGTGATTTCCACTTTGGACCGCTCACCTTAGAGAACCCTGATTACACGGGCCATTTTAGCAACCTGTTTGCCAGCTCAACAAAAAATTAGGTCATTGATTCTGCCGAACCAGTGCGAACCGGCTGAATCCCACCACTGGTGTTAACTATTTGCAGCATACAGGGACCGTAACTGTCCTACCCCCCAATCCCAGCGGGCACCTTCTGGTGGCAGAGTTCCTGGCCTGCGCAGTGTGTCCGTTACCTCGTTGTTGGTGCCGACGTCCAGCAGGACAGGGAGGCACTGCTGCGGGTTCACGCCCCCACACGCAGTGTACAGGGCCAGCTTTCCCACCGGGATGCCCATGCCGTAGCAGCCCAGGTCTCCCAAACCCAGTATGCGTTCCCCATCCGTCACCACCACGGCCTGAAAAACACAGCGGGGACACCATTAGTCAGGGGCAGTACTTGTGGGAAAAGGCGGCCTGTTTTACAGCCTTAGCACATCAGGTGTGACCACTACTGATTTTGCTGGGGGGTGAATCCTGTTGTCTGGGCAAAGGTCAGAGGGCGCATTCAGCTGTAGGTGGCCCATACTCCCCCCCACCCCCACCCCCACCACTTCCTCCCACTGGCAGGTTGGTGGGAATCTTCCCGGAGGAGAGATGGTGGGAAGACACCTTCGGAGGGTGGGTGTGGGGGATCCTTGAACAGTGAGAAGCAAACCACATCTCTTCACTCTCCCTTTTAGAGAAACAGTCTGTTATCTGGTGGGGGGAGAGGAGGAAGGGGCCACATCCCTGAAAGGACATAATGAAGGACAGTAAGAACAAATGCTTCTCCTGCTGCTACAGCTCCAAGGTTTTAGGGACCTGTTTAGTGCTGTTGTATCTGCTCCTGGGGAAAAATATATATAAATCTAATTTCCAAGGAACCAGATTTTCTTCTGATGTTTGCTGAGGCCACTCTTTTAACCTAAAATGAAGAGGTTCTCAAACACCAGTGGAGGTACCGCTTATACTGTGGCAAACAATGATCTGGTGCAGTTGGTGGTGCGATGCTGCCATTCATTCATTTAATAAACATTTATCAAGAGCCCATTTTGCATAAGACACTATGCCAGATCCTGGAGGAAGGGGCTTCGGTTTGGTCACCTGCGAAACTAAGTAAGCAGGGACTAGCCCTTAGGTGCTACACGTCTGTACACAACTGTTCCCCCTAGCCAAAAGGGCTCCCTCTCTCCTCCAGACCCCCTCTGAATGCACCCACTGCCGCGTCCAATGGGTTCATCCTAGTCTCTGGATTCATCTCTCCTGAAGGTCCTACTCCCCTTCTCCAGCAGTGCAAATCCTGCCCATTACAATCGAATGCAATTTCTCTTTTCCCCAAACTTGTTATATGTGTATCTACCATACACCTAGCTGGCCGGCTCACTCTTTGGTTTGGTCTGTCTGTCTTCCACATTTATTAAGGACCCACTGCATGCCCAGTTTGCAAATAGTGCTACTAATCATTTGATGATGAGAGCACCTATTTAACTTTGTGCTAGTTAAAAAGTTCCTACTTAACTTTGTGTGTGCGCACAGTTTACCTTTGCGAGCAATCAGGACTAAGAGCTAGGGCTTTGGAATGGGATAACCAGTATATGAATCTAGGCATTTGGATGATAGACCATGTATAATTATGAGTACCTATGTAAATTTTCAGATCCCCAATTTTCCACAAAATGGAAATAATAATAGTAATACATAATTTACCAATTTAGTTACTGTCTCTATAGATCTACCTATCTGGGATTTCATATGAATAAAATCATACCAGAAGACCAAAAACTAAAAACAAACACACCAACAACCAGAACAATCAAACTCAATCCAAAAGAGAGCAGAAAATAATGAAAACTAGGACAAATTTAAAATGAGTCAAATGGGAAAACAAATGATAAGGTGTTAAATTTTAAGCCATTTCTGCATTAATTCACTTTCCACTGCATTCTGTCTGAGGGCACGGCTATTTACGACACTGGTCAATGGTCAGAGGGGATTCACTGGAAGCCTAATTTATGTGGAGACTTTGCAGATGGATTTGGGGCTTTCACTGCTATCGAACATTGCAATTGGGTGCTCAGAATTTAAGCTCTAATATAATTCCCTCATCTGATCTTAGATTTTATTATTTACAATCCTGGAATCTCACAGGTTGATGTACTTCTTCCATGTATGTTTAACTGACCCGTCACTTAGATGGCTTCTTGTTTTAAGACAAGCTTTTAAGACCCCAGGCACAATTCTTTCTGTCAGGCACCATCTGTTTTATTCACCACACTTTACTATAGCACCCACATCTTCAGTGGTCCCTTTAATTGGGTAAATATCAATTGAGCAAGGCCATATTATAAGAACTGATTATTCTTAGTTTAGAGTTTATGGCTAAGTGGGTACTCAAAATCTATTCATATATCTAAGGTTGTTATATATCTCTGTTCCACTTTAGTGGCCACATTATCAGCTTTTTAATAAATAATATAAATAACTTCCATAAGGCCTTTGTTAATTCTAGTAATAGTATAATTAAATTAGCTGATTGTATAGAATTTAAAATACTTTTGAGACCAGAAGAGTATTCATATATAGGAAAGGTTTTTAGACTAAAATACATGGCATATGAACTTACATTTATTTAAATTTTTAAGTGACTGAATCCTGTTTATGAAAACAATGAGGGTTAGACACAGGTTACCCATAATTCAAAAACACTCGTTCACTACAGCAGAACTATGCCTGCAGAATGAAGACATGTATCAAAAACTGCCATGACTGGCCTCTCTACTCTAGATTCTTCACACTCAATTTCATTTTCCTGAGACCAACCAGGCTTATCACTTTTTTGTCTCCAAACCTTTCATGGTTGGTTCCTTCTGTCTATAAAATAAGGCCTAAGGATTTTAGACCATCATTTCCAGGTATTCTATGGCCTAGTTAAATTTGCTCTTTGCATTTTCTTTTTACCAACTTCATGCTCCATCTAAGTTAGAGTACTTCTAATTTTGCACAAGGTTTGTACTTTCTTTGCTACAGGTCCTTTTACTCCTCATCCTCTGTATCTCTTTAATCTGAATTATGTTCCAAGAAACAGTTTAAAAGCACTTTGCTTCCCTTCTGGAAGTTCTTATCCTCCAGATTTTTAGAGCTTTTCCAATCCTGCAGCACCTAGCATTTCTCCTCCTGCTCTATAGTTAACACATTTCCTTGTTTTTCATAGTAGTGGGTCTTGTCATCTTTGAATTCTCAGCATTTAGCCTGGTGTCTCAGTGTGATATGCGCTCGATCAATGTCTTTTGGACAATGTGCCACATCCAGCATAGAGTACAAAGTCTTTCCTGGTGGATAGAAGTTAGGCCTTGGCTATACTACCACTGTTCAGAGAGAAGATGCTACATTTTATTTTTCATGACATCAGTGGAGCTAATGCTTCCAGCCACCAGTTCAATCGATTGTCAAAAACCTGATGGGGCATGAGGCATTATCCTTGAGTTTCAAAGCATAGAAAAACTCAGTAAACTACAGAATCACATTTTTCTTGTCTGAAAGGGATTTATAACTCAAAACTCCTTTGTCCTTCAGAGGACTAAAGGGCATTTTGGGAAGCAATGCCCTCCTTCTTCCTCTACCTGCTGTGCTCTGGCTTATTGCCCACATCCCTTGCTGGACCCAATAGGACTATCCCAAGACGGACCCAATAATCCGAATTCCTAGTTTCTGCTGGCTCTGGCTTCAGTGGACATACTAGGTATGACATCCCATTTCTTCTTCTTTGTTTCCCTCTTTCCCTCCCATCCCTCTTTTTCTCTTCTTCCTCCTTTGTTGCTTATTTTTCTTTCTTTCGTCACACAATATAAATAATGCCAGCTCTTTAGCTTTAAATCTTTGTTCCACTACCCATTAGCAAAGGACTTAGCCTCTTAGTTTCCTTGGTGTTAGAATGGGAATTATCATAACTTCTGCTGTGTCTTACAAACAAGAACCCTGTGGCATAGTTGGATATGGATTGGGCTGCTAACTGCAAGGTCAGCAGTTCAAAACTACCAGTCTTTCCTCGGAAGATGTGGGTTTCTACTCCTGTTAAGAGTTACAGTTCCTAAAACCCACAGTGGGCAGTTCAGCAATGTCCTACAGGGTCGCTGGAAGTTGGAATCAACTCGATGGCAGTGAGTTTTGTATCTCACAGGGTGGTTAGGAGCATTCAATGAGTCAATCTATGAAGATCACTTAGCAAAGTGCTGTGCGTGGTAGATATAGTGTTGGGCTGCCCTGGCATACTTCAATGGGTAAAGGATTTACTACCCGAGCTTGTATCCAATGATTGGTTAATGCAGGGTCCTAAACGCCTGTCTCTCCTGCCCTAACTTGGGACAACTATTAGGGACATCTCAGATCATGAGCCTTCTCAAGGGTCAGTTGAGTCTTTCTTGAGGTCTCACTGCAGCCAAATCCCTCCCACTGCCCTATCCAACTTCCTTCTCTCCACACAGCTGTTGATCCTAAAAGCACACCCTAATATATGTCTTATATAATGGTCTCTATGTTAGTGACCGCATCCTAGGAAATCCAACCCCTGACACTGGGTACAGAGTGAGAATGCACGTGGGGTATTGCATGATGAGAAGGCAGAACTTAGCGCTGGCAATCTGGCTCCTGCTGAAATGTCCAAATGGCTGGTGCCTTGTGCCAGAGGGTGCTCCCCTGGCTCCACTATCCCAACTACCTCTCAGTACCTGCTCCTGTGCAGCTGTTGGGAATGGGATGGGGACGAGATTTAGGAGCTTGGGAAAGCTGTTAAGGAGGAGGGCTATTCTCAGATGAACCTTTCTCCTGGTTCCAGGCAATGGCTACTGTGGGAAAGAGTCAGAAAGGCAGTTCTCACTCCTCTGTGATTTACGATGGATAGCAGGGGTGGCCTGGCCCGCCCCTCCTCCCTGCACCGAGGGGCCCAGAGAACTCCATGGTCTCACCAGCCCTGGGCTTTGGCTTCATTCCCTTTGGTCTGTTTCCCTTACAGCTCTGTTTTCAGTTCTCCTTTCAGTCTTCAAGGCCATAGAAAGTCATTTTTTATCTTCCAAGTAGATTCAGGAGCTCCTCTGAGCCATCCTAACCCTCAGCCCAGCATCAGCAATTCATTGACATCCATCCCTGGAAAACCTATGCTTCCCTCACGCAGCAACTGGGCCAGAGGGGGCTGTGGTTAGGGCATCAAAACCCTTTCTTTAGGTGACTCTGGGCAAGTTGATTAGTTAGCTTGCTCACCTGCAAAAAGATATACTACTATCCAGGCTTCAAAACCCAGGCTGGGGGTTCCAGAAGCACTCCTTTTCCCACTCTGATCATGGTAATGGTGAAAAAATTGTAAGTGAAGAAGTAAAGGGGCTGTCCTTTGCTAGTTCCCAAACTCAAAGCATAAACCCACAGTCGTTGAGTTGATTCTGACTCATGGGGTTGTCGAGACTATAAATCTTTACAGGATCAGACAGCTCATCTTTCTCCTGCAGAGTTGCTAGCGGGTTTGAACCACTGACCTTGTGGTTAGCAGCTCTTGTCAACTCCAAAGTACCATAAAGAAGTTAAGTAGCAGAGATTCCCTACCTAGGCAGGGAGACACTCATCTCCACTTTTTTTTAAAGCAACTAGATAAAAACACATCAGTAGACAAGACGGACGACAGCTGCGTGGACTATTCTACAGCTCTGAGATGGCAGCTGCAGAGGGAGGAGCGAAGGGCTTCAAAAAAGACACGTAAATGGTGTAGCCCCGTCAGCACTCATGGACGTGTTTGAAAACCAAACTGCAGGCCCAGTGGACAGAATGGCCCATTTTTTCTAGGGAAATCTGAAATCTAGGTGATTTTGTTTTGACCCGTTTTTTCTAAAAGTCTAAAATCTAGGTGATCTTGTTTTAAAAATTAGTTTTAAAACTGAGTTTATAGGCAATATTTGAAAGTCACTTTAACACTTAAATTTAAAATTTAAAACTTTGAACTAGAGACTTTAAAATGTTGCCTGTATAGTCAAAGTTCTCAAATGTTTTATTACCAGTACACTTAATACAGCAATAAAACAACAAGAACAAAACATAATGTTGAATTAAAAAATCATCAAATAAAAACAGAAAATAGTGAAAGTCAAATCATACATATCTAGGCTTCCCTGGTGGCCTGTGACCCTCAAGGATGGGGTCTCAGGACGGGCCTTAGACTTCTCCAGTCTCTCCACACTGCGGTGTTAGTAACATCTGCCTGCTCCACCTCCAGTCATGACACGGCCCACCCTGATGACTCCATGCCCCACGCTGGCAGTTCAGACACACTCTAACTATGTTGAGCTTTCTAATTAGACTTTAAGCATGTCCAGCTCAGGCCTACACACTTGTCTTATCCCTGAACCCCCAGGGAACTCTAACAAAGTTGATATTACTCATATTTTTTAATGTCCTTGAACCAGATGGTGCTGGCTCACATCAGATCATATATCCTACAATTTCATTGGGCGCTCTGGATGTCTCTCTTAGTTTGTGGTCTGACCCCAAAGCCCCAGTTTCTTTCTTTTCTTCTAAAATCTAAAATCACAACCATTGCTTTTCCATCTCTGGAAATTAGCATGCTGGATACAGAAAACGAAAAAACACTGCCATCAAGTCATTTCCGATGCATAGCGACCCCCATAGGACAGGGTAGAACTTCCCCTGTGAGTTCTAGAAGTGAGTAACTCTTTTTTGGGGGTAACTCTTGATGGAAATAGGAAGCCTCATCTGTTTCCTGTGGAGCAGCTGGTGGTTTTGAACGGTTGACCTTGTGTTTGAACCCAATGTATAACCACTACGATGCTAAGGCTTCTTATGTGCTGGTTGAAGTCTACAGATGTTGAGTTCCTGTGGCTCTGCTTGGTTATATCCATCTTGGTTTCCCAACTAAAGTGAAGGAATTCTGGGGCAAGATCCAGGTTGTTGTTTTTTCCCCTTCTCATTTTATGTCCCATACAGTAGGCTCTGGGCACAGTGTATAAGTGATGCTTTGACAACCGCAACAATTGGGACCTGAAATCCAGCCAAGAGCACTTCCATGTAAGCCTGGAGCAAGGGATGTCATGTTTTTACTGGGTAAGAAGGGTTACTTATTTTGGTAATAATTTCTAATTTCTCATAACATGCACAAAGGTCCTTCTGTGTTCGTGGAGAAGCTACCACTCGGGCTCCTGTGCCAGGAAGATAGCAGGTGCTGAACACATCCGCTGACTGTGTTGATTCAATGCAGTTCAGCAGCTACTGAGCACTTTCTATGCACACAGTTTCACCACTATTGAACTGTCCCGGAAGGTGGGAAGGACTGGTTTGATCAGAACTCCTCAGAATGCTCTCTCAGGGCAGCTTGCAGTATGCTGGCTTCTAATCATATCCTCAAGAATTTTTTATTGACACACCCTGGACATGCCTTGGGAATGTGCGTCTTCCAGAACTGAGCCCCAAACCTGCAGGGCCAAGCCTGCATGTCAATGGATTCTAGGCAGATATTCAGGAAGAAAAGCACCTGGCAGAATCACAGCTAGTCAGAAATGTACAGAATGAGCTGTTCACCATGGCCATGGTTGAAGCCCAAGGCTTAGCTCCCTTAGAGCCAAAGCCCTGCCCTGCTTCTTCCATTGGCGAATCCTAATATCCCTCCAGAGGGCCCCAAATGAGTGGGACATCAAAAGCTACTGAGAGATGGCTGGATTTGGTGTCCAGTAGGGTGGCGTGGAGTGGCTGAGTGAATTGACAGGGACCGAGGGAGGGAGACAGTGGAGAGAAAACAACGGTGGCCGTGCCACCGTCTCCTAATGAACAGGTAGGGTGGTGGTGTTGAGTTCTCTTATTGCCCCTGAGAGTTACTTCTAACAATACTCTGTCCGCACCAACCCTTCCAGCTCCTGGGCCAGAAATGTCCTCAACAACAGCCAGCAGATGTCATGCCTCTTCGCTTCACCCATTTTGTGTGCAGGAGTGACAACGACCTTACGGGGCAAGAACCCCTCAAACTCTTCCATAGAAGTCCTCATGAGAGGAGGATGTTGGGGAGTATAGGCAGGGCCTGAAAATTTTTTCTATAAAGCTGAATGCTTTAGATTAAAATTAATATGCATCCTGGATTATTGTTTTTTATGATTATACTATATGATTGTGCTTACTTATTACATAAAAGGGTTCTCTCTCTATTGTGTGAGTAAAATGAATACTCCAGGAAGAAGTGTCAAGTTTGTTTTGCCCTGTATCTATCTCCCCTTGCTCCCCGACACACCCAGGAGGACACTTTCCCAAATATCCATCAAAAGCTTTATTTCTTGGTGCACTGTTCCCATTCTGTTGGCCTGTCTATCCAGACTCCACTCTCAACTCAGGCTCTAGCTCACTGAAGGCAGGGTCACCCTGCTACTCCCTCCTTCACTCCACAAGGGCCGTAGAGAGCAGGATTTATTTCTAAACCCTACGCAAAGTCAAGAGAGAGAATAACAGTTCTCAAAGTGGGCTGTAGCCTTTCCCTGGATTCTGCACACAGCAGACAGGGAACTATTCTCTAAGGCCCTCAGGGAGAGGAGGATGAGTGGGGGCAAGTTTGTCCTCTAAGTCACTTCCTCCAGGAAGGTTTCCCAGGCTGCCTTCACACTAAGAGTCATCTGCTTCTTTTGAACCGCCTCGGCACTTTTCCTTACCTGGTTTATATTGGACCATGCTTCACCTTGTGAGCCCAATGTGTCTCTTGTCTTCTTTCCTTCAAGAGCTACTAGCTTCTTGAGAGGAGGGTCTACATCTGCTTTCTGCCTGTCTCCATCACAGAGGTTACCACCGTGTACTTAGTGAGCGCTGGACAAGATCTGATGACCATATCTTTAGATCCATTTCCTGACTGCCCTCCTGATCCTCCAGCACTCCCGCAGGGGAGGATTTCACATGGGTGCCTAATGAATGAGCACTTCTGCTCCTCGGTGCCTTTGTGCTTGGCTGTGAAAGGTCTCTGTTTTCCGCCTGGCAAAGAGTGGTGGCATATGTTACTTTCAGTGTCTCATTTTATACCTGGGAAAGAGTCTGACTCCAGATGAAAGGCTTCATCCAAGGACAGAGGAATTAAAAAAGAAAACCAGCTCTTACCTTAATATTGTCTTCTGGCCAAGAGTTTAGCATCGTTGCGATGTGTCCCTTGTCATGAATGGTGATAAACAGCCCACTGGGAGAGCAAAACAGAAGGCGTGGGGGTGGGGAGAGAGGGGGAGACCAGAAGTCAGACTGTGGCCAGAGCAAAGACTATAAGTATTATGTGTCATTGCATCTAATTTTGAAAAACAACAACAACAACAAAACCCTGGGCAAGAGGTGTCTCTGACCAATGCCCCAACAATTAAAGGCATTTCTCTGTCTCTCCTCCAATAACATCTCCCTACAGAGATGGGGGTCCCTGAGGCCGAGCTCAATGGAGTCTGTACTATCTTCCCCTTCCTCTGGACCACAGGTACCCGGACTCCACAATTCCCTGCCCACATGGTCCCAAGCCTACTTCCAGGTAACGTGGGGGTCTCTTCCCTAGGTCTCACCTCCAGAGTATAGGCCATATTTCTTGTGAGTGGATTTCTAACTAGAAAATGGACATGTGGGGTGTCCACACACATGGGCACAAAGCCCCTTGTGCTATGGAATGAAGCTGATGATGGGAAGAGGAGTGGGCCATTTTTTTACCTGGAATCCTAGTGGCATAGTGGTTAAATGTTTGACCACTAACTGAAAGGTCAGAGGTTCAAACCCACCAGCTGCTCAGCTAGAGAAAGAAGTGGTAGTCTGCTTCTATAATTTACAGCCCTGCAAAAACTATGGTGCTGTGGGGTCACTATGAGCGACAATCAATTCAGTATCAGGAAGGATCTAGGAACCGCTCTGTTGACTTTCAGAACAGTGTAGACTTGGGGCCTATTCCGTGAGGGCCTCCAGGCGAGGAGGCTGGTGGTGTGTGTGTGTGTGTGTGTGTGTGTGTGTAGTCAGCAGGCCTGTCCTCCATAACAAAGGCTGACTCAGAACCCGCAGAAAAGGATGAGGTGGGAGCCCCAGGTGTGTGGTCCCCCAGCAGTGGCGCACTCCAGGAAGAGTGGACTCGCTTCATGGTTTACATCTTTCTGCTGTGCTCCCTTACGATGATTCCAGTTTGAAAGATCATCACCTCTGGAGGCAGGAGGACCTGATTTAAATCCGATTGCACTGTCCACTTTGTGTCTCCTTGCTTGTTTGGACTTTCGATGGTGCATTGGGTGCACAGTCACTGAACAGATCGGCAGCTACATTCAATAGTACGCATGCAGTTTGTTTGTTCTTCCCAATTCCCTCAACCCCACATCACTTCTCCCTGTCCTTCCTGGGCTGCCTCTTTCTATTCCTCCTTCTTAGCAATCTTCCAAACATTACCCTTTGGTAAATGGTGCCCTTTCAATCTCAAGTTATGGTGCTTCCAAGGTGGGCACACCTTCCTAGTGTTAGTCGTTCTCCATAACGTCCTGTCTATTGTTTGGCAGAAAACTGAGCACAGGGGGGAGTTCCGTTCCAGACCTCCAGGAGGACTGAGGGCCATAATCTTAGAGGTGCCCTCCATCTCTCTCTGACCAGTAAACCTGGACTTTTGTGATTTTGAGTCTTACTCCACATTTTTCTCCCACTCTATCTAGGACCTCCTAAGGCAGCAGTTCTCAACCTATGGGTCGTGACCCCTTTGGAGGGTGAATGACCCTTTCACAGGGGTTGTCTGATTCATAACAGTAGCACAATTACAGGTATGAAGTAGCAATAAAAAAAATTTATGGTTGGGGTTCACCACCACATGAGGCACTGTATGAAAGGGTCGCAGCATGAGGAAAGTTGAGGACCACTGCCCTAACGTGATCCCTTGCAGAACACTTGGTATTGGTAGTCAGGCACCTGCACTCAGCATAGTGGAGACTGATGTTTGTGTGGTTCATTAATCCACTGGACTAATTGTTCCCATGTGTCATTGGTTTTTAGCACTCTGTTTTCCCTCTGGACAGGGACCAATCTTTGCAGCTTGGAGCTTTATTTTTCATTCCTTAACCTCACAGAGCCTCAGTTTCTCCATCTGCAAAATCAGAACAGGAATGGCCTATCTTGTGGGGCACTTATGAAGACTGAATGGCCTAATGCATGAAAAGTGCCCACAAGCATCTGCCAGGGGTCTCTCTGTACCCCACAGCCGGGTCTGATCCAGGACTCTCTCCCTGGGAAGGAGGAAAAACACCCAGGGATGAGTGGTGTGCCCTGTGAGGCATTGTCGGACAGCAGATGCGATCTGTTACAGCATGATGTTATCCTCCTGCTCCAAGACACAAAGGGAGTCAGGAAGGGGGCAAGCTCCTCGAAGCTCCGGCAGCCACGTTTCCAGCTTTTGAGTGACTTCTAGGCTGCCTGGGATCCCAAGGTGCTGCACATCCTGCAGTGAGCTATTAGAACCGGAGCCTGGTCAAGGCTAATGATCCCTCTGAGTCATAAGAACCGAACGTCCTTCGCCACTCTTAGTGCTGCGAACATGGACGTCTAGGCGAGAGACACTCACAGGAAAAAAACAAAAATAATTTTAGCCACTGATTACTCCTCCCAAGTTTTTCCTGTTTACCTTAGGGAAGCAATTTTGGAACATGATAAAAGAAAAAAATATATTGTAAATATGGCTGGCCAATGGAATTCAGAGCTTAGGTTATATATGTCCTGTTTTACATAACATACAAACAAGTATTTCTGAAAAACTGTGAGTAAGTAAAAAAATGTCCATACTTAAAATCATATTGATTGTGTACTTGGAACATTACTGTTTGAAGAGAACCACCTTACCTTCCCCTGCCCCCCCCCAAAAAAGAACCCCAAACATCCATTGTGCGACCCCACATGTCAGAGCAGATCTGTGCGCCGGATTAGAAAGTAGATCACCGGGCCCTTGTTGAGGCAGGAGGAACTGCCAGCTTTCAGGTTCGTAGCTGAGTGCGGACATGTTCGTGCTCTCGGGAATGCATGCAGGAAGTGTTTGGCTGTAATCGTTGTTCCCTGATTTTGTGGCATTCTCAGCTTTAGACTTCATGCTTCAGTTTCCAATAAAGTGAACCACATTCTCTCTTGGCTGATCCGGGGCCATTAGGGTCCAGTGATCAAAGTCAGAGAAAGGTAGCCACAGGAGTAGGGCAACTCCAGCAGTGGGCTATGGGGTAGGGCATGGGGCACCTACTATATTCTTCCCCACATTGAACTCATGTGGCCTGAAACTATTTTCATTATGCTATTTAACTTGGAACAGAGTTGAAACTTTTCTTTCTAATCATGTATGGAAGCAATTTGTTCTGTTCACGAAGAACATCTGGTTCTCTCTCTCCTGGACACATGGCAGTCTGCACGTGCATGATTCACCAAAGTGAGGCACGGTCACTTGTGACTTGCTTTGGTCAATAAATAGGCGTGGTTGCAACATGACAGACATTTCTGAGTAGGAGTGCTTAAGAGTCCTCTCCTTTTCCCGTTGCCATGGAAACCCGCACAGTTCTAGATGCACAGTTCTCCATTAGTCCAGGTCCTTCAGTGA